GTGCGTCCTTGCAAAAGTTGTAATTCAGAAGATAAATCAATGATATTTTTCCGTATTGGAGTCAAATCGGTATGAGACTTAATTGTAGCCAACTCCTGTTCTATTCTTGTTGTTATATTTGCAATAGAGTCATCTACATATTTTTTTGTTGCCATATGTTTACCAGAAGTAGGCGGATTTCTCGAAATAAACTCTGTTATTTGATCTGTTTTTGCTGTTATTTTTTTTAAATCAATCACTGAAGTATCTACGTATTTTTTAGTTGCCGCATCTGAATTATCTGTGGGATCTTTTATATTACACAACTTTACGTTCTTGAAGTCAACATTGCCATCAGAAGTATGGGGTAGTGTTAACTTTGGCGGTGTACGCATATACGGAAGTGTCTTTTGTTTATCAAAGCGACGTCCGAATTTATCAAGACTCATCGTGTAAATGAAAGACCAAGGAACTAGATTACTGTATTATATTAGCTTCTTTCAGCTCGTTGAGGATGGCTACTATTTCATTATCATGCGACGTATTGCCAGCTTCCTGAGATGCCATAAGGAGTTGAAGTCGATCGATTAATTCATTGGGATTATCCCAGTACACGTATTCGATTGGTTCCTCGTTGTATGTCAAGTAATCACCGATACCTTTTCCTGTTGGTGGTTTTGATGTTGATGATGTTGTTGTTGTTGTTGTTGTTGAGGGAGTGGATCTTGTTAATGATCGACTAAGTGGACTACGTATTTTTGTAGATGTTGATCGTGTGACAATTGTACCTTTATTTTTCTGCACATCTTTAAAGAGAGGCTTAATAATGTGATTATATTTAAATCCTGTCGAACCTTTTAGGCGTCCAAGCGAATCTAAATGAACACCGGTACTTTGCAATAGATTTTTATAGGGTTGTAAATCTGCATCTACATAGTTTGGGTCATTATAGAATAAAAGTTGATACAGCCCAGGTGTGCCACGAAGCCATGTACCTGCTAAGTTTGTCCCCTCAGGTAATATCTGTATTTGGCCAGTCGCTCTATCAAATTTAATTCGGCGTTTACCTAGCATCCAACCAATGTTGTCGGTATATATAGGTCCATAATTTTTATCAATTTTATCGTTTTGTGTCCAAAAATCTTGTAAATAATTATGGCTTATTGGGGGATATTGATCTAAGTATTCCTCTATTGCTTCTTGTGAAATATCAGCAGGACGCATTTCTTCAGGTAGTGGTGGTGTTTCAGGTCTCGGCGGTATATTACCTTGTTCATCAGTTGAAGTTCTAAATTGAGATAGTTTGGGTTCTGTGTGAATACATCATCATCATCATCATTATCATCATCATCATCATGTTTCAATTTTTCCTCTTTTTTAATAATAAATGAAGGATGCTGCTGAGTCTTAGCTATTTGCTTAAGAGGTTCAGATATTGGTTTGAAAAGTTTTCTAATAGATTCATCTTCTGCAGTTCTACCTAACTTTAAAGTAAGATACTTTTTACGTATAGCTCGAGCAAGTTCTGCGATCTTTCTTTTATGACTAGCAACGGCAACTTGGTCCTTCGACATCATGTTACTGAATGATGGCGTACATGATAAGCCTACAATTTTATGTACTTATCAAATCCTACTCTGTATCGACCATAATTAAGAGGAAAGTCTTTAACAATAACTAACGTACCGTACTTTTCTGCCCAACATTCCGAACACATCTTTTTGAATTCATCAAAAGTAACATCTGGAGATACATGCTCATCAAATATATGTTTTAGATTAATTTCATCCTGCTTAAATAGTACTATAATGTTACAGTTGTCTCGTATGAGCTTTTTTGGAATTTTAGAGTATGTTTGGCAGAGATATGCAGCATCGATATCTTTATGACGACACATGGAGTAATACTCTCGAATTTTCTGCTGACCGTCACACTACACGTCGTCAAATATGAATATAGAGCTATTTTTAGCCTTACTTGGACTTATAATTTCCTCGTTATCCTTAAATGGGAAATAGCCAACACCCTTAGCAGCGGAAATCACTTCTTGAAGCAGTTGATACTTTGGTTGATACAACGATTTTGAATAAACGTAAACATTTTTAAACTTAGCACCGTTTGGATGGAAAAGCAGCGCCAGCATTACGTTCGTTTTTCCACATCCGCTTGGTCCGCAGATGATAGCGCGAAACGAATTCGGTAACAATTTACCATGTTTACTATGTTGAGTTTTTGCTGTAAAATCCAAGTTATCAATGGGTAATGACTGCTCTTGTTGAACAACCTTCATCGTGTGGCGTTCGAATAAGGAATGAGTAAAAGTATATATGTAGATATTGCTAACGCATCATCAACAGTTCTCATGTTAACGTACAAGGGTGAAGGTGTTGTAAACTCTCTGATAAATAATCTTCCGATAGAACTCCACGTACCTTCGTATCAGTTCCTGGGACGTAAGTGTGCGACAGATTAGGATATTTTTTTTTCATTCTCACACATGTATATGTATATTTTCAGCGGGGACTAAATTAAAGAAGAGGTTAGCACGAGGAGATCCTGGAAAGAACCCATTGGATCGTGCTGCAAGAGATCACGATATTGCATACGCCTTATACAAAAATTTGAAAGACAGACACAAAGCTGATTGGATTCTTGAGAACCGAGCCTGGGAACGTGTAAAAGCACCTGACGCTTCACTAGGAGAAAAGACTGCAGCTTGGCTAACAACCACCGCAATGAAAGTTAAGCGAAAATTGGGTATGGGGCAGAAGAAATCATCTTTTCGACGAGGTGTTCTCACGAAAATCACAAAGTCCTTGAAGAAAAATGCTCCCACCACCACGACATTAAAAAAGTCTGCATTGGTTGCTCTTAAAGCGGCAATATTAGCGGTGAAGAGTGCAGGTGGAAAACATAAAGTTCGACTACCGAGAATAATTCCGATCGAAGGAAAATCTGGGGGATTCCTACCCTTGATCCCCCTTTTCGCCGGATTAAGTGCCTTGGGGGCGCTCGCAGGGGGAGCTGCAGGTGTGGCCAAAACGGTCGTTGATGCCAAGAATGCACAAAAGAAATTGGAGGAAGACCATCGCCATAACAAAGCTATGGAGTCTTTGGGCAAAGGATTGTATTTGAGAAAAAATGCTAAAGGTGGTTATGGGTTGTACCTCAAAAAAAAAAGTCAAAAAAACTAAACATCAAGCTACCCAAGAAAGCGCTTTATGATTATGAAATAAAGCAATATGCGAAGCTCTTGAACATACCTCATTTCCGAGGTGTCTTCATGCGTGACACTTTACCACGAGACGGTCCACGTAAAAGAGAATGCGCCGTCGTGAACTTAGATATTTCACAAAACAACGGAACTCATTGGGTAGCTTATAAAAAGATAAACAACAACGTTGAGTATTTCGATTCATTTGGTAACCTGAAGCCTCCACAGGAACTTGTTCGATATCTGAAAAACGCTAAAATTTTCTACAACAACGATCCTTACCAAACTTATAATCAAGTTAATTGCGGACAATTGTGTTTGAAATTTCTATACAATAACAATAACAACAACAACGATGGATAATAAAACATTATCGGAATTTACATTAGAAGAGTTTGAGAAGAATATTCCGCCGCTGGAATATTTAATAAGCAATGTGAGACCTGCAGAATTGTTGAGCATATGGCACAAACTGCCTGCAGAATACACATCCAATTTTGATCTTCAAATACGACTTCCATGCTATGTTCACTACAACAGACCTGATTGGGCAACACATTGGGATGGATCGGCTACTGCTCAAGCAAATTGTTATTTCTGTAAATTATCCATTCGAAAATAAACAAAAAAACTTGAATAAATGCTTAGTACACAGCTATATTTTTTCATTCATCATGTCGCAGTTGTTGAGAGTCAATAGCACAACTCATATATTTTCATTTCGTCCTTCAACACCGATAGTGTTGGATCCGAAAAAAGATTATGAATTGGCGCTTAGGTCTTTTACTTCATACAATTCCATACCGAATATTGAAAAAGGAGATAAATTTTATTATATCGACCGGATAGGTGGTGGTGGTCAATTAAAAGTCATCGAGTTTCCGACAGGCTGTTATGAAATTACCGACATAGAAACATTTATACGAACGCAAATGAATCTTGAAAATGAAGTTGCTCCTCCGGATGATTATTTTTCTCTAAAACCTAACAATAATACACTGCAATGTGAAATCTTTAGCAAGTATTATAAAATAGTTTTTACAGAACCGAATAATCTTGGACATCTATTGGGATTCTCGAAAAAAGTTCTTAATCCTGGTCAAAAGCATTCTTCTGATTTACCTGTAAACATAATAAAAGTATCAACCATACACTTTGATGCTAACATTACGTCGGGAGCCTTTGACGGAGACACGCCTGCACACACGATCTACGAATTTGCTGTGACAGCCGATCCTGGATACGCTATAAGGCGCGTATTCATCTGAGCACGAACATGAACGAGGCATGGCGTATGTGCAGATGTGGACGTACATCCGAGGCGCGCCACGTTGCGTTCGGCCGTCCGTCGTATGGAGCGAGGCAGTTCGGGAGCCATCCGAAGGTAGTCGGTACATCAAAGACAAATTTTGCCTCGCGCGTTTAGATGTGGACAGTTTGTTTAGTCGTCGTACGTTCGTGCCGCCCGCCGATTGGTAAAATATGAGTTGGGACACGGAAAAAACAATATCTTTCATTAAAGAGTATGAAAAGCGCCCGATATTGTGGAAAAAGAACGATAAACATTATTATAATATAATCAGAAAAGAAGATGCATGGAGAGAGATAGGTGAAATATGTAATGAATCCGTGGACGTCTTAAAAAAGAAAATTGATAGTCTTCGAGGTTCAAGAAGGAGGGAAAAAAATAGAATTGCTAAAAGCATGGGAACAGGTAAAGGTAAGTTGAAGCACCAATGTTTATAATATTTTTTCAATAGTAATAATTCTGATGAAACCAAAAGTATAATATTTTTTTTAATTTCAGGAAGAAACGAAATTTATGAGTCCAAATGGTTTGCATGGGATAGCCTAAAATTTCTAGATGACCCAGAAGAGCTACAAGAAACATTGTCCGTACGTATTAATAATTTGATATTTTTGATTTTCTTTTTAAGTGAGTCTGTTTTTTGTGTTTTTTTTTGTTTGTTTAACTACATATACAGGGTGTCCCAGAAAAGATGGTCAAGCCGTCCACTGGACATTTTTGTAGACAAGATAAGATGCAAAGATTACACATAAACTCTGTGGCACAGTTTCTGTTTTAAATAGGAGATAATACATACATAAAACAATTATATACTAGTTGCATAAACGAATTTATTGGAAAAAAAATTTTACAATATTTTAGGCGTAATCATTTTGCCAAGGAACAGAACCATGTGAGCAGAAATAATCAGTAAACTCTGCTGGTATATTTTGTGCGGAAATACTTGATTTACGTGGAACATTTTCCAATGGAGCTAAAGAAGGTTTGTCACCGTTGCCTTCTCGCCACGAGCCAGGAATGATTTTTTCATTTTTTTCTTTGTCAAAAGTTCCATCCGGTGTATAGATATTTCTTGACGAATGGCTTTTACGCAAGAAATTGTGTAAACAAATGGTTGCCATGACTACTACTTTTGCCGTCTCTGGCTCCAGCAACATTGGCTTTCTCAAGACTCGAAAAACAGCAGAAATAATTCCAAAAGCATTTTCAACTATTCGACGAGCCCTACTCAGTCGATAATTGAAAATCCGTTCTTTAGAACCTTTGCGATGACGACCGGAGTATGGTTTCATTATATTTTCTGTTAGTGCAAACGCCTCGTCGGCAACAAATACGTACGGCATTTCTTTGTTCCTGCCAGGTAGAGGTGAGCACCTTAGAAATTTCAAAATGTTTTTTTCCATATCTTTGTACAACTGGCAGTTTTTGAATACACCTCCGTCAGAAACACCACCCTGGCAACCAACGTCCACAAAAATAAAATTGTAGTCACCATCAACAAGAGCCATTAATACAATACTAAAATTTGATTTGTAATTATAATAAATGCTACCGCTATTGATAGGACATTGCAGCGGTATATGTTTCCCATCAAGGGCTCCTAAGCAATGTGGAAAATTCCACGTTTCGTTGAACTTTTCTGCTATTTTTAACCATTCATCTGTTGTAGAAGGTACCTAAAAAATAAAAAAATATATTTTTTCAGAATCATCCTGCTTCATCCGACATCATAGAAGTTGATGAAGAAACTACTGACAATACAGACCGAATTGTTGAGGACCAAAATCCTATTTCTTCGCAAAAAAAATTTTTGTCACCACATAAAAATGCTCCGAAAAGAAAAAAAACGAGGACCCTCGTATACAAGAGGCCTACGATATTTTAAAAAGCAGAACAGCCACTCAGAGTAAAGATGAATGCTCAATGTTTGCTGACTTTATCGCACAAAAAATGCGAAAGTTTAGCCCTCATACGAGAGCTGTTTTGCAACATCAAATACATAATCTTATTTTCCAAGCTGAACTGGACTCTTTACCAATTTCCCCTCAGGTGTTATCACCATCCCAACAAACATTTCAACCTTCAACATCTATTTGTCAAAACTTTCGTACTTATAATTCACTACCGTCTCCTTCTTCGTCAATATCATCAGTAGGACCTCCATCTTGTACTCCATCACCACTTCAATGTCCTCAAAGTAATATACAACAATATAATGAACATGCACCACAACAATCATCCAGTGAGCACTCGAGCACCCATAGCCAGGAAGTGCCACCCGACCACCAGGAGATTACGTCCGAGAATTCACTCATCTTTCAAGTCAATTCAAGCCAACAAACTGCTAACCAGCTAACTACAGCTACCTACTTCTCGAAATATGATGAAATATGATACGTGAAATGTTAGTTAAGATTGAATTAAACATACCTTTACGTGTTGACTCAATGTATTTATTATTTCTTTGCATACTTCCGGGACAAATTTTGAAATAACTTGTTTTGATACGTTGAATAAATATTGTAGACTACTAAACGAGTCACCAGTTGCCAAGTATCTTAATGTTATGGCCAATCTTTCCTCAGCAGTGATGGCTTTTCGAAAATGTGTGTCACTTCTCGTAATTTTGTCACGAATTGATTCCAATAAATAAAAAAAGTCGTCGGATGACATTCTGGTAAAATTTCGAAACTGTGCTCCGTCCTCCTGCATCAAATCATTTAAGAATAATTTTCCACGTGTAACCAACCTATTACGATATATTTTAGTAGTCCACCAGCGCTTTTTCTTCTTTCTTTTGGATAGACCGGCTATCACAATAAATGCTGCAGTACTGATTACTAGAACGTCGTCATCAGCCATACTATTTTTGCGAAATTATTGTTAGTTAGTTTAGAGCGTAGTGCGGACTGATCACATATTTCCATCTATTCGGGTGTGCGGCGGATAGCTACTTTGTTCGCTGCCTCGGCGAACCGTTCGCGACTTCAAATTTGAACAACCGAGGCATGCGGCAAGCGTCCGTTCGGCCTCGCCTTGCCTCGTTCCCGTTCGTGCTCAGATGAATACGCACCTATAGTCGAAACACCTGTAAATTTACTATATCTACCTGTTATACCGAAACAAGAAATAACCAACATCACAGTGTTGGCTTTAGATCAAGACGGTCGTCCTGTAAACTTTCAAGGTGAAACTAGTACTCTTGTGTTGGAGTTGAGAGCGAAGCGCAGATGGGATTAGTGATTATAAGACATAGTGGTGCTTCCAAGGCAACTTCAGTATTACCCCAAGCACCTAAGCGACGACATCTACTACTAACTACATCAAATATCCTGTTTCTACGCTCACTTGGATATCATGTCAACAACAACAAGAATCATGTACAAAAAGAGAAAAACTGAGGAGGCAGCAGCAGCATCACATACTTCTCCGATGTTTGATCTATATCGATCTCCAGCATTCGATGAATCTATTCGCAAGGCTGAGTATAGATCTTATACGCCGTTCATCAAGTCATTTAATTGTAATGATGTTGTGGAATTTAGCATCAATCAAGTAGATTCGTTCTTTGCAATGAACGCTTCCCTTCTATCTATCAAAGGGAAAGTTGAAATAACTGGAGCAGGAGATGTATCTTTAGCTCCAAACTTTGGTGCCTTCCTATTTGACTCTTGCACTTACAGTGAATCCGCTAGAGAAGTTGAAACAGTACGTGATCCTGGTATTGTAAGTACTGTCCGAGCTTACGTATGTTACAGTGAGGAAGACTCAAATCATATGGCTATAGCTGGATGGAACTATCCTTCAACACCTATAATGGCGTCAACACATAACAAGTCTTTTAGCTTGCTAATGCCGCTTAAACATATTTTCAACATTTTCAATGATTATCCTATGATTACGTGTGGCAGACAAACTATCAGATTTGTGAGAGCTAGAAACGATAACGATTGTATCATTATCAAGGAAAAAACTGGAACGACGACGACGACGACAGCGAAAATAACTATTGAAAGCATGGAACTGAAAATCAAACATATTTACCCGAGTGATGATGTGAAAGAACAACTTTTGAAAGCTATTCAAACTGATAAGCCGATACTTATACCATTTAGAAAATGGGATCTGAACGAACTGCCTGCAATTACCGCAGATGCGAGAAGAGAAATATGGTCAGTTAAAACTAGCACCGCAATCGAAAGACCACGTTTCATTATAGTATGTTTCCAAACTGGTAAACGTGACGTCGCAACCTCAGACCCGACCCTGTTTGATCACGTGAATGCTGCTAGTATTCGAGTATCTTTAAATGGTGAATACTATCCCAGCGAACGTATGCAATTGGACTTTGCAAACAATCACTTTACTGAAGCTCATTTCAACTATAGCGACTTTCAAACCAGCTATACAACTTCTTCTTCTCTGAAGAGATGTCTTTTAGATTATACCGCTTTTAAAAATCGCGCTTTGTTTGTTATTGACTGTTCCAAAGAAGAGAAAACCATGAAATCATCAACTGTTGATGTTAGATTGGATATCGAAGCCGATACTGGCTTTCCAACCAACACCAAGGCCTACTGCATCATTATACATTACATGACTGCTTAATCGAGTACTTCCCCCTCACCGAAGTTATTAAAACCATCTCGTAAGCAACGAAGGACTCTCAGTTCCGCATCAGACATCATGAGGATCGCGTTTGTTGACATTCAAGGCTTTACAGTTGACGGATTATTCGTACCTAAAGAACTATGTATCGAAATTGGTTTCAAGAAAAGTCATTACATCTTTACACCTCCGCAACCTTTTTCTACATTAAATACTAAAGACAAGAAAACCGTCGCTTACTTGGAGAAGAATTTCCATGGGCTTAAATATTCTTCCGGCGACGTTAAATATTCCAAGTTAAATGAAATAATTAAAAATAAGGTGATATATGCGGCTGACTATGTCTACGTTCGTGGAGAACAGAAAGCAAACTTTTTACTCAAGAAATGTCACATTTTTGGTGTTTTTCCCAACATTATTGATGTTTGCAAGTATGATGGTACACCGTGTGCTACTGGAAACTTTGTTGCTGATTCCAATCCATGTCACACCAACGGACAATTTTCCTGTACCCAGAGAAATGTTGAACGTCTACGCCACTGGTTTTCAAATATCATATTACCTATGTAGTTTTTTTCTATTTTCAATAAAATATTAAACGTATTATTGTAGTTCTATTGAAAATACCTCTGGTTTGCGAAACAATTGTCAGAATGTCTTGTTTCAAGTTGTTCAAGCGCGGGTATTCAAAACATGGCACACACACACACACACACCAATGAACCTTATTGTTATATATATACTATATGTTTCAATAAAATATCCATTATACTATTTTCATTGTGAACGGTATCATCCTGTATAATAATAACAGTACATCGTATACAGGTTATGAGACATTCTGACCGACCGACCGGCCAGAGGAGCCCACCACGCTATTTAGGTCACGCCTTGCTATATACGATTTAACGATATACCGTCGGTCCATCGATCCGCTATTTTTCGATGCACCCCTGTATACAAGTTCTAAATGCCCCCCGTAATCCACGCCAACACCAGACAGGTGCGACATCGGCGCCATCTATGCGCAAGTTGCCCAACCCATCAATGGCAGCTGTCCAATGACACATAGATTCCGTTTGGTTTGTACAGCGCCAAACAAATCGGCGCCATCTATGCGCGAGATGTCCAACCCATCAATGACAGGTGTCCAATGACGTATGACAGATGACGTGTAACGCCATCTATGCGTGAGATGCCCAATGACGCATGACAGGTGTCCAATGACACACAGATTCCGTTTGGTTTGACAGCGCCATCTAGCGGCGGAATCCCCAACTCATGAATTTCGCATACAGATTCCGTCCAACAACCCATCAATGGCGCGCGACGCCAGCGCCTCTGGTGGCCGATTTTAGAACTACTGAGATTCAATCCCCATAGAACATCTACTTGTTAGTACCAGCATATTTTATCCCCATAATCAATATCATTACGCAAGCAACCGCGAATAATCTAGATGACATTGAAGTCCTCCATAATCATTTGGATGCAATTATAGCTGACCTGGAAGGTGACGGAATTCAACTGACTCAGATGACAACTGACATAGAACTCCAGGAGTTCATTCAAATTAGACCTGCTGAAGCTGCCGTGTTGGGAAATACAATGGATAATCCCACAACAATACCGCTTCCAGTAGTGAAGGCTCACATCTCGCATTCAAAATCGTTAAACCAGATGCAGCACGTAATTGAAAGAACAAAGAAAACCACCACCAAGCAGCCGAACAGTCAAACTGGTATCAATGCTTTCAAAGAAAGTATAATGCTTGTTAACAAGCTTGTTAGCTTATTTTTCTTTGCAAATATTGAACACCTTCAATAAACTTTTTTACTTTATTTTTAGGAAACGTGCAAGTCAGTACATTTTCAATCTTATGTCTATATAGTTCCGAGTTCTTCCGCGCGGTCAACATCAGGTTAATTTGCGGCGTTGCCACTGTGAAAACGTTTGGCGCGGTTGCCAGATAAAATTCCAACATTCTGCATAATTCAAAAAACAACATACAAGTCCTTAACAATGCTAATGAAATCAAACATCCAAAATACCGAGCGACAATTGGCAGTGGAAACGGATAAGAGTAAAAAACTGCGAGAACTTCTTCATCAAGACGAGGAACTTCTAAAACAGTTAGACGAGGACAGAAAGCGCGTACGTGAACAGAAAAATAGGAGGAAACGGCAAATGGACGAAGCAATGAAAAGGGTTGACAACTTGAAAGAAATGGCACAACGGAAGAGGGGCAAGGTTTTGAAGAAAAAGAAACACTTTTACTTTTATTTGATTTTTGAAAATGTACATATATATATATGTATAATGTAATATACCTCAAATTAATTTTTAATTTACTTTTTTTCCGTCATGTATAATACGTGTATCATAATTCTCAAAAATAATAGATTAGGTGTGGTCAAATAGGTGTGTTTGTAATTTTCGAAATACTTATTATACCTTTAATTAATAAGTATTTTCTCCAGGACTATTTTTCCAAATCTGGCAGACCTATCAGTACCTAGATGACCTATGAAGCCGGCTCCATACGCTTGGCAAACAACGGCAAACAGCAAACACCAAACAACAAATACGAACATGTGGATGAGTGTTTGTTTTTGTTTGCCTGTTTGTGCTTGTGTTTGCCGGTGTTCGACATCGGTGTCGGTTTTTCTTCAGAAATCAAAGGATATTCGGCAAACAGTTTTAAATGTATCCACATGCTTGGTAGCAATCAGTAATGCGCACAAGCTTGCGGGCGGCAGACGTTCCGTTTATGAGTCTAGTTGGTGCTAACAGCAGTGTTTCGCGGGCAGAGTAAAGGAGCTAGAAACTTTGAAAAATGTCTGATTGGTCTGATGATACAATTCCATCCTTTTTGGAAGCATACCAAAATGAACAATGCATTTGGAATACTAGAGATACCAATCACAAAAACAGGCAGAAGGTGAACGATGCGTGGACGCGCCTTAGTGTTCTTATGAACAAAAGTATAAAGGAATTAAAAACTAAAAAAGAAATATTAATGGCTACGTTCCGAAGACATTTGAAGAGAAAACAGGACTCCATTCGTTCTGGTGCAGGTAAGTTTTGACTATTATTATCAACAAATATAGGCTTACAAAATGTTGCCATTGCAGTAGTATGACCGACCCTCCTAAGACAGTGTGTGAGGTTAACTCCCATATAACCTACCGCGCTGAATCAATGCGTGTTGTTCTATTCCAATATACATATTCTTACTTGAATTTGAACAAATCAATTTTTTGTTTCAGGCGCGGATGATACTTATAAGCCTATCTGGTTTGCATATGAGGTCATGGAGTCATTTTTGGGTCCGGTGTATACCTGCACAAAAAATATAAACACAGAGGAGGTAAGTAAAAGATAATTTATTCATCGTCGTTGCTTGAGTAGGTATATTAAACTCGCTCTTTTTTATACATTCTGTTTAATGATATGACATAAAATAAAAACGAACTTTCATAGCTACCTGAACATATGAACCTAGTAATTGTTTTTCTATGTAACTGCTACGTCTGCTACGCTTATTCCCCAAATTAAAGTAAACACTGGTATAATTTTCGATTATTGTAATAATGCTATATTGA